GGGTGAAGCTGTTCCATTATCTGCCTGAAGTCTGCACCTGCCAAAGAAAAGGACAATTACCTCTGGTCCTTTCCCTGAGTTTTCATTAACTTAACTCACATCAGAGGAAGGAAGACTGGAGTCTGTCAACACACCTGGACTAACTGTTGTCACAGACCATTGTTTTCTATTTTGGTCCCTTTCAGTATATATATATATTTTTTTTTTTAAAATTAATTAATTTATTATTTATTTTCAGTGGCTTGCTGGTAAGGCCATTCAGTATTTTGAAGAAAATTATTTACCAGTCATTGTCTGTGTTGTGGGCCAAATAGACTTTGCCCCAGGCTATTGTGTCCCCTAAGAATCATTTACTCCTATGCCCCCATCTCCCCTTTCCCTATGAAGATGAGTGCATAAGCTCTGCACCCCAATAGAAAACTGGGACATTACTGTCTCGTGATTCTCTTGTGCTTTGCCTTCTCCCAGCACATTAATAGAATTCGTTAATGCCATTTCTTCATATTGATCTAAATTTATCAGTGATAGGGCCAGGCCGTGGCTCACTTGGGAGAGTGTGATGCTGATAGCACCAAGTCAAGGGTTAAGATCCCCTTACTGGTCATCTTTTAAAAAAATAAAAATAAAATAAAATAAATTTGTCAGTGATTTTTACTGATGAGCCTTCAGGGGTGAAGAGGAAGTTTTCCCTTGGACCGTACATCGTCAATCTGCATGGACCCTAACAGAGATAGACAAAATTGTCCTAATGCTAGGCCAGCCCGTGGCTCACTTGGTAGAGTGCAATGCTGATAACACCAAGGCCACGGGTTCAGATCCCATATAGGGATGGCCGGTTTGCTCACTGGGTGAGCGTGGTGCTGACAACACCAAGCCAAGGGTTGAGATCCCCTTACCGGTCATCTTTATAAAAAAAAAAAAAATTGTCCTAATGCTCTCATTGCACAATTTGGAATCTCTAACATACTCTGCAAGATTTCTGTGAATTCCTGTTAAGTTATAATGTCTAATGACCACCCCTGGCTCTGAACTCATGTTTCTACAAAATTAATTCACTTACTCATTGTCTTTTTTCTATGTACAACGTCCCTGTTTTGTATCTTGTTGACCCGGAGATAGAACACAGCCTTTTTCCTTCATTTACACACACATGTGCGCGCACACACACACACACCCACAGGAGACTCTCATGAGGTGTTTGTTCATATGGCAGAGTTTATTGAAGGTTCGGAATGACAAAAAATTCAGCTCTGAATATTAGATATCTCTGTTTATAAAAAACTCCTATTTCCTGCTGTATTGTTCAGCCTGCCTCTCCCTTATTCTTGAATTGTGATCCCAAATCTCTGATCCTATCAAGGTGAAAATTTTTGCACTTTTTTACTTTCTTTTCCCTAATGAGCTCAGGCCTCAGGATCTCACTTTCTACTCCAAAGCAGTGTCTCATGATATTTTTCTAAAAACATAATTGTCTAAGACAGGGTAGGCATGAAGGAATACCCCTCTGATTTCCCTTCAAGGCAACCTGCTTTAGGAGCATAGTTGACTGATAGCTTCCCTTGCCAGCCCTTTGACTCCACAGTAGCATTTGCATTGAGACTGTACTTCCCCAGGATGCGCCCAGCCAGTGATAGCACACAGTGAGGCTACTAGAGGTGGGCATTCTGGCTTGACATGGGACTTCTCTACAGGAGTTCCACAGGGACTATGCTCAGGGACTCCCCATCGACACCTGTTTCCCAGAACTGTGCTGCAGTCTGAGGCCCATGCTACAAATTCTTCTTTTCTGTTATCTCAGTTGGTTAGAGCACAGCCTTGTAACACCAAGGTCAAGGGTTCCAATCCACATACCAGCCAGCCAGCTGCAACCCCCCACCCCCGCAAAAAACAAAAAAGAAATTCTTCCTTTCTGATTTTTTTTCATAGATGTCAGAACTTCATCACAAACTGAAGGCTTTCCTTACCTACTCTGCTCTATCTTTCACATCTCTCCCAATCCCCCAATAAATCTCTTGCACATATAATTATTCCATCTGCTGTTTATTGTCTTTGGCGGTGGGGGATGGCTGGTACAGGGATTGAACCTTGGACCTTGGTGTCATCAGCACCACACTCTAACCAACTGAGCTCACCGGCCAGCACCGCACCCCCCACCCCCACTCCCGCAACAACACACAGCTCATCTGCTTCTTGAAAGGTCTGAACTGAAACACTATAAAAAATTATAATGCCAGCTTTAAAGATCCTTATTTTCCCCACCCTGCCACACAGAGGTAATCATGGAATCTCTTTGCTTATAATATTTAGAAAGTATGAACAATTTGTATATAACAGGTATTATATGTTGATAACCAAAAAACTGTTCTACCAGGTCAGCTAAATTACAGTGCCTTGCAAAAATCCGGGATAAGTGAGTAGTCACATCCACCTGTCCAGGAAAACTTTATCATAAGACCATTTTTACTTAGAAGCAGACTTAAGGGCACCAGAAAGCCATAAAATAACCTAGAATGCTTTTGGTAACCCTTTCGTTAACCTAGTAACAATCCCGAATCTATACAACATGTACAACCAATAGAAAACTTCGTAAGTAATTAGGCAGAGCTGTTTTTCCTTCTCTCTCCCCTTTGAGCCTTCCCCCTTCTTGTGATCATTATATGCTAAGCACTGTGGGCCCTCTTTGGAGCTCATTTCTCAGGGCAACCTGTTTCATGTGTCTCACCAGTTGCAATTGTCTTATTGCTCAATAATCCTTTGCTATCTGTATTTGACCTAGTTTCTTAGGAGTTTTTGTTTGTTTGTTTTGGTTTTTGGTGGCTGGCCAGTACAGGGATCCGAATCCATGACTTTGGTGTTATGAGGCTGCACTCTAACCGAGCTAACTAGCCAGCCCCTCAGTTTCTTTTTAGGTCACCAATTTCTTTATGACCAGATTAAATTTGGTCTTGGGCCTAATCATCAAAGACAAATAACATCCTGTCTTCAGATCTCATTCCTCTTTCCTTCTAAGTTAAAGAAAATAGAGAGGTCTTGGTCCTCAGCCTACAGTTACTTCAGAAATCACTTCTCAGTCTACTCAAAGGCTGGTGGCTCTATTTTATTGGTGCCCCATTATTAGAAGCTTTGCTGAATATGGAGGATCTTTTTTAGGGGTCTCCTAAAATAAAATATTTTGATAAGCAAAAAAAAAAAAAAAAAAAAAAAGAAAGAAAA